AGTGGATTGATTTTCTGAGATCTTCCGATCTTCATCTGGCATGCACACAGCATTGGCTATTTTCCAGTTCCAAAAAAGCAGTGATGAGTCTTTGAGGAACAGACAATATATTTTCATTGACAGCTCTGTTACTGCACATTTTAAAATTTGGTCAGAATTGACAGAGGGTGAGATCCTAAGGACTTACTATATACCTCAAGTGCCAGTGAGGGGGCGTGGGGGGGAATGTCATTGCACTGGCCTAACCAGAGTCTGTCTTTCATTTCATGCTTGCTTTTCTGTCAAATGTGTTCTCCCATCATCTTTAGTATAAAGATGATGTGTGAAGAATAGTTGAGGGATAATTGAAGTAATGTTTGCCTTGGGAGTAATCCTATATTTTCATGTAGTTGTGGTGATGGAATAAGACTTTTCATCCCATAGCAAATGGTGCTCACTCATGGAAGTCTCTTGGTCATTAAGGAATTAAATGAGGCTGAATGGTCTCAGAAAAATGACTGGTTCACCTTGTCAATCTTTGAAGTAAATCTTTCCTTTACTCTTTGAAAATAAATGAAGCAATGCAAGTAAACTCTTGCCCTGGACCCAATTCTGACCAACCTCAGGGAACTGCTAGGTGGAGTGAAGCGGGGCATACCGCCATGGGCTGACTCGTGGGAAGGTGGCCCTTGGATGTCCTCAGCACCTTCCAGGCCCTGCCCATGAGGGAGGGGCTTCAGGCAGACTGGTGTGTTCCCAGAATCCTAGAAAGGGAAATTTCTAAAGGCTTCCTGACCCAGATGAACTACCTCTCAAGGCAATGAGAGAATTTGCAGGTGGGATTGCCGGCCAGCTGGGAATCATCTTTGGGAAACTGTGGAGGATGGAAAGTTGCCAGGAAGCTAGAGAGAGATTAATGTCCTCATTTCCCCCAAAGAAGACAGAAGGTGGAGTTCAGGAACTAATGACCATTGAACTTCATGTTGATCTTGACAAAGTACTGTAGACTGCAGGATTTCAACGATGAAGTGAAACATTTTTTAAAGGATGTGATGATCATAAGAATTAGCCAGGGTTCACTAAGGACAGAAATTATGCCAGACTGTCCTGACTGCCTCTTCTGATAGGGTTATTAGGGAAGGAGATCAGGAAATCCTGTACTCATGGAATATCTAGTTTTCAGCAGGCATTTGTGAGAGACATACGGAGGTATTGTAGACAAGAAGGATCAATTCAGATTGGATGATAGTATAGTGAGGTGGATTCATAACTCCTGGCAACTTCCTTGCTGTGGGAGGTTTAATTAATTTATTGAATGGCAAGTGCCAGATTGTGTCCCCAGGTCCCATTGGTAAATTGGTTTTTTGAATTTGTAACCCATTTTTCTATGGACAGTTTCCTTTTTGAATTCATTATATATTTGTGTAAGAAGTTGGGTGACGTGGCTTGTCTATAGGACTGTAATGCTAGAATGAATTTTGAGCTCCAGTATAGAAAACAAAGATACAACCATCTTCCTCTGATGTAGGGGTAAGAGGTGGATGATCGGTGATGGACAGTAGGGTGGATATGACCACCTTGCTTCCCATGGCATTAGTTCTCCCACGGGTCAGAGGTAGGAACTATGGGAACCTGACCTTCTATTGGTACCACTCAGGTCCCCACAAGTTTGTATCCTTGACTAAACTGATGAACACTGGAAACTGTTGGAAGTTTTTAAAGTAGAGGAACAACATCATTGGCCAGATTTGTGTTAGATTAGAAAAATTGCTCTAGCTGCAGGCTGGATAATGGATTTGATAGGGCAAGATTTTAAATAGATAAAAGACGATGCTAGTAACCCATATGAGAGATTGGTAGTGGTAAAAATGAAGTAAAGTTGGGTGTATTTGAGAGAGATTTGGGTGGTAGAATTTCTGTGACTTTGTAGTAAGTTGAATGTGGGGAAAGAAAGAGAGGAAGGAATCTAGCAAGGATGACTCCCAAGCTTCTGATTTGTGTGTTTCAATGGATAGGGGTAACCTGTATTGACCTGGGAGACAGCATAGAGAGAAGGCAAGAGAAAGGTGCTTTGGCCATGAGGACTCAGAGGTGCCTGAGCGACATCGAATAGAGATGCCCTCGTAGAAAAACCAACAAAGCGTGGGAGCGAGCAGCTAGGGAGAGAGGTCTGGCAAAAGGTACAAAACTGAGTTTATGTCATTCCTTTTACATCCACCAAATGAGGCTCCATCTTGGACATCTTCCTTCTATATATTGTTTTTTTAAGACTGAAGTATAATTGAGAGAGAATATTGTATGTCAGGTGTACAAAATGAGTCAATATTTGGATACATTGCAAAGTGATCACCATAATAAGTGTAGTTAATATCCATCACCATACATAGTTTCATTTTTTTTTCTTGTGATGAGGACTTTTAAGACCCCTAGTTGATCCTTCAACAATGTGGGCATTAGGGGCACCAACCCTCTGTGCAGCTGAAAATCTACATGTAACTTATAGTTCACCTCCTGTATCCATGGTTGCTCCCAACTGCAGATTGTGTAGTACTGTAGTATTTTCTGCAGAAAAAAAAGTCTGTGTGTAAGTGGACTCATGGGATTCAAACCCATGTTCTTCAAGGGCCAACTGTATTCTTTTGGCAACTTTCAAGTATGCAATTCAGTGTTATTAACTATGGCCACTGTGCTGAACATTACATCCCCATGACTTACTTATTTTATAGCTGAAGGTATCTGCCTTTTGATTCTAAATCAAAGAATTTTTAATGATATTTTACTATATAACATTTGTTTCCTTAAGAGCATAAGTGCCACTAAGCTTATGTACTTATTCAATTCAAACTATTCAATCTACAGGATTCTGGTTCCATGCAGTTATGACTGTGGTAAGTAAAGAAGGAAATAAACACATCAGGCTGTCCTAGATATTTCAGAGCATTCTGTTCATCGTTAATCATGGTAGTAGCCTGGCAAAATAGAATTTATTTAAGTATCTCGTGAATGGTAATCTGTTAATTTGCTTCAAGAGAAAAATATGGTCTTAGAAATTAATTTGACTTTTATATTCTGTGGTCTCTGGTGCATGTATGATTAAAGAGAGCAGTTCATACAATTTTAAGCTTAACATTTTTGAAACCAAACCAGATCCTAGACATGGCATTTTCACATCGCTGTTGGAATTTCCATGCCTAGTATCTAAGTTCATTCTATCCCTTTATTTATTTTGGCTCCAATCTTTGGCTTCTTCTTTCAAGTAGTTTGCTTTCAATGTTTATGAGAGTGGACTCCTACAACCAAAGAAAGGATAGATGATGGGTCAGTTTGAAAGTGATATTTCCGTTTGCCATGGAGTTAGGATCACTTTACCATAATTAGTGATATTGTGAAAGTGCAGTAGAATACCTAGGCAGTGTCAGTTACGTGGCTGTTTTCAGTATGCATATGGTGCACACACACAAGATGTCCCTGTGCATTATTTGATTAATGGTAATTATTGATAATTCTCTATTTCTGAATTCCATAATAAGAAAGATTTAGTTTTAATGAATTACAATGCAAATGATGTAAAACTAGGTCTCTGTTAATGTGTTCATGATTCTCTGTTAATACTGAAGTGGAAAGCTGTATTGCTTTTGTGGTGAGCATCGTGAAATGAAATGGGTATAATCAGGAGCCTTTCCCTCTCTACTGTTTTCTGCTTTATGTGTAAAAGAGCTTGATTAAGTTATAGACCACTGTAAAGTGTTCGTCACTCAGTTGCATCTGACCCTCTGGGACCCCGTGCACTGTGCCCACTAGGCTATTCCATTGATGGAATTCTCCAGTCGAGAATACTGGAGTAAGTTGCCGTTCCTGTCTCCAGGCCATTCTAAGATTAAGCATAAATTGTGATGCTTTGTGTATTTGGGGTACTTTTTGTAGTTAAAGTTTTTCTTTCAGTTTTTGGTTGTTTATGCTCATTATATGCCTTCTTACTGCAATATACAGTGAACTTACTCTGGGACATTCAGATGGGCATAGAACTCAGATTTTTCCTTTTGAATTAACAGTATTCTAGTAGGAGCTTCACGAATGTTTGTTGAATGAGATCAGAGAATGATTAGATAATGTTTATTGATATAATGCTGTGTTAGCAAATAATAAAAATGAAGTCATGCTTTCTCTCTTCAACTGTTTCCATCTCTAGATTTAACTTTGCCTATGACAGAACCTTATAGTCAGGTTTAAAAGATGGTCTTTGGAGTTAGGCTGAATGGGTTCAAATCTGAGCCATCAATTTCTAACTAGGTGGCCTTGGACAAGCTTTGAACTTCTCTAAATCTCAGGTCCTTCCTCTGTGAACGGTTAGCCCATGTGGATTTTGTTAGCATTAAGTGAGTATATGTAAAGCCTTCAGTGACTTCAGACAGTAAGTGCTTGATAAACAGTAGCTACTATTGTTTTATCTGCCTTTTCTGCCTATACTCTACCTTCAGACCACCCAGTAGTCTTATTTTGTTTGTCCCCTAGATTTTTTAAAAAATCAGATCCAATGCCATCTTAGAATTTTTGAAATATTTTTTTCTACCTGTTTCAGATTTTCCCATGGTTTCCCAGAGTCATGAGTCATGTATCTTGCTTCAGTGACCCCTCATATTCTACTGAAATTCATCAGTTCCCTAACTAGACCTCCACACATCTGTGATTCTTTGGAATATTTTATCTTGTAGGGGATGCTCTACAGCTATCCTCTCTTCCTCCCTCTCTTCCATAATAAGCCTTCCACTGAATTTATTCATAGAGCATGTTTGATTCCTTTTTAGGGTTATTTTGCAGAAAGTAAATAAAGCCACGAAACCATTATACGTGCACCTCATACCAGAGCTTCTTTTCCTCCTAAAGAGCTAATTTGAAAGCTTATCTTAAAGAATCTGCCCCTCTTTGAAGACCCACTATTTCCATTTCTAACCACATTCAAATTTATTCATATTTTATTTCTTTTTTCTCCCTTTCTTTTCCATTATGCCGCATTCTTTAAGATGTGGATGAATGCCTGGAACCAAAGATCTGCACAAATGGTACTTGCTCCAACCTTGAAGGATCCTACATGTGTTCATGCCATAAGGGCTACAGCCCAACTCCAGACCACAAGCACTGTAAAGGTAAATACTGTGATCAGATTTCTCATTTTATTTGAACTACACTTGAAAACATGTTAGCATAACTAGCCTTAAGAAAGGAAACCATACTACTTATCATTTATTTAACTGAGCTTCCTAGAGCACGTTGGTTGGCCTCTAAAAGTGAATCCTCATGGTGGTTAAATTCCTATCTATTTACATAGAGAAAAACAGTGAATTTTTTGAGAACATCTATAAACTACAGATCTACTTGGTTTTTTCTAGTTGTAAAAACAGTCCTACAACTCTGTTAATATACTGAAAACTATTGAATTGTATACTTTAAATAGATAAATTATGTGATATATAATTTTTTATTTCAATAACATTGCTATTAAAAATGTATTTGCTATAGAAAATGTAGCGAATGCAGAAAGGTAAAACAGATAATCTCAGCCTCATTTGTGGATATTCACATCTCAAGGGTGTTTTGTATCATTAAGATTATGTACTGTGTCCAATTTTCAGTCTTGCTTTTTGTTATTTAATAGTATATTGGCATCTTTCATTTCACTAATAACTCATTTTAGACATTAGTTTTAAAGGCAGTGTAATATTCCAGTGTGTTGCTATTTTTGCATTTTCATTCTGTTCTTCAGATTTTGTAAAGGTGGAATAAGTGGGCAAAGTGCTCTGTGTTTAACTATTTCAATAGAACACTACTTTATAACGTTAAAATGTTTGAACACTTATTATTAAATACTTAATCATGTGTTTGTTAAGCACTTATATTTCCTCTTTTGTATATTTGTTAATATGTTTTCCCATTAGTCAAGTTTTTAAGTCAGTGTATATGAACACTTTGTATATAAGATATATATACATGTAAGTGTATGTATTTAACATATACTCTTTCCTCTAGAATATTAGTGTAATTTGCCCATGGTTTCTCTAATTTTTTAAGTAATTTGTAAGAAGTTTTCATTTTCTCTGTGGTTAATTTGTTTCCTTTCTGCTTTCTTCCATCACTTTTATACTTAAAAGGATGCTCTTTCAAAGGAAGGAAGAGGAAATAAGTGAACCTTTTTTTTTCTTTGCTGTCTCAATGAAAGTGAAGGGTCTCGGGTGGTAATTAATTTTTCACTGCGGTAGGGAAGCAGTAAGCAGATACCCTACTATTGACCTGTAAGAACTGAAGCATCTCCCACTTGCAGTAGGGAGATCATAGACATTTGAGTTTTTGGCGCCTTGTTCCTTTCATACAGCAGAGTACTAGCCACTCCCAGGAGAGCATAGACAGCCAACACAGCTCCCTTTTCTCCTGGTGCTTTCCCACATCCACAGCTTGCCTTCTGACTGCGTCTCTTCTGCCAGGCATCTCCTTAGAAAAAGTTAAATTTGAGAATCCCTTGAAAGGTATTCTGGGTGTTTGATGGAAGAAAAACTTCCTCATACATAGGGCTAATGGTGACTAAAGGCCTCAGTGTTAGAAGCCATTATTAGCTTCATCGTTCCTGTCAAGTGTATCAAAGAACCAATGCATTCAAGGCACTGCATCTGTTACCAAGAGACTATCATCTCTCAAAGATGTATTATTCATTGAAAGAGATGCATACCTGCAACAGCTAACTAGAGTTCATAAAGTACTAAGTGATGAAAGTTAAGTTATCAGTGATGTCATGTGGATGTCATGTATTCCTGACATTATGTGAGGACCAGGACACTTTACGTTTGTACTACTGTTCTTCCAAAACCCTCTTACTCCAGTCTTCATCATGAGAAAAACATGAGGCAAGTCCAAATTGGGGACATACTATGGATTTCTGGCCCATATCCTCAAGGCAATTAAGATTGTTAAAACAAGGAAGGACTGGGAGATGAGACACCTGAATATGATGTGGTCCCCTGGATAGGATCCTGGAATAGAAAGAGGACCTGAATGGAAAAACTGGTGAAATCCAAAGAATTCTGGAGTTTAGTTTTTGGATTTTTTTAAAGGTAGTGTATCATATTCTGGTTTGGGTAGTCTGGAGCGGTGTGAAAATGGATGAGTAATCTTATTTCACCAAGCCTTACTTGCTCATCTGCAGGAAGGTAGCAGTAATGGCACCTAGGAGGGTTGATGTGAGGATTGTGTGATAGGATATTGGAGAAATATGGAGGTAATACATGGAAGATGAGAGAAGGCAGAGGCAGAGCATGACATTCTGTGGTGGATGCTGTTATTCCCCAAATAATAGGCATGTACAAAGTTCTGTTGCAGCCAGGAAGTGTGTGACTAATTCTACTTGCATGCTTCTGAGAAGTCTTTACAGAGGTGTTGCTATTTGAACTTGGTCTTAAAATATTGGGTGCAGAGGGGAGAACCTTAGTAGGCAGAGGAAGCAGCACATATGAAAGCTTGGAGGTGGGAAAGAACTGTTTTCTCCACTTGCCACTTAAGCTTGCCCTCTACTCTCATTTTCCTGGTGTCTTTCCATTACAACCTGGGATAAGATCAGGCAAGGTCCCCCGTCACCTGCTTGAGAAACCTGCGTATGCACTAGTTGCGTTTCTTACTCCCTGAAGTCCTTCCTTTTCACAATAATAAATTGTATGACATCCTTTCTCTTTATTTTCTAATCTTTCCCAAATGACATCAATTACAGGTGTCAGGTTCTACTCAGAACATAAGTCTGTTTTCCAGCATTGCAGTAATTGCCGATTTCACTCTGTTGATAGTCCTAACTATTATCAGTGTCTTCACCTCACTAACTCTTTTCAGGTGGTAGATATTAATACATTATCTAACGTATTGGATTGGCCAACATGTTCATTTGGATTTTCCTAAGATGTTACAGAAAAACCTGAACAAACTTTTTAGCCAAGCCAGTATTAATCCATTACTTGTTTATATCTTTTTGTATTTGTATCTCTGCATCTCTCTGTACACTTTGCTGGTATATGTCCTAAATGTATAAATACCTAGAGATAGTCTCTATTTTAACTCCTACCAGGAATTGTGTGCAAAAAGTCCTTCAAAGAAAAATACCTTTTATGAAATATATTCTCTATTCATCCCTTGGCACAAGAAAGAGAAGACATTTGTCCCACATGCCTATTTTATTGGAAAGTGTTCTTTTATATATAAATTTTATCTCTCAATCAATAACGAGAAAGATGCTTTTTTTTCTTAAATGCATAGAATCATGCAGCCTTTGTTCCCCTTGGTCCTTTTAAAGACCCAGGGATCACCTCATTCAAGATAACAGAGTTGCCTGGAGTTATTCCAAATGTGTATATCATTAGTTATAATGAATTACTTCTGACAGTCTCCCCAGCATAAATGAGTAACTTACGTAGGATGTCTGGTGTCTTCTGACAGTACTTGGAATGGAGGGTATGTTCTTGCGGCAGACATCGTCACATGGGTATGCTTAGTTTGTCATCTTCTTTGAGAAAGTCAGAAAGAGGCCAAAGCACTAAAAATGTTGTCAGACGTTACATGAGATCCAACCAGCTACATGAGCTTTTGTTGGTCTTAGATTCTTGAACTGATGTCTCAAGTATTTTATAAAATGTGCTGAAAGAAAATATGATGTGGGCCCTTCTTTGCTGACGATCACTTGAAAAGCCAGTAGACTGAGAGTTTTGGAAAGGTATTGAATCATTTGCAAGGCAAAGTTCTTACTTAATTTCTCTGTTGGTAGTCAATGGTTGACAGCTAGGAATAATATACAAACAGAAGGGAATGATTGCACAAGGAGTGAAACAAAAGTTTCTAGTAAACTAATTGCTAGAATAAATTAAATCAGAAACAAATTCCTGAACTCTGCATACATTAACAGTCAATGTGAGCTTTTTCAGGTTACGTGGTATAACTTGACTCACCTTGCTTATATCAGGATAAAGTTCAAAAGGTTAATAATGCCTCATTGGAGGTTAAATGCAACTTTACTTAGCAAGCAGGTAATTGTCAGTAATATTTAAGGGAAAGGACTGTGCAGTTGGTTGAGTTCTCCTGGCAAAAACTTGTAGATGCATTTTATTAAATAATAGGATATTTTCAGAAGGAAGCAATAGTCAGACATTAATCTTTGGGACCTGGTTTCCTTTTTAGATTAGGACTTCTTTCTCCCACTCTGAGTATAGGGCTGGTGTGTTTTCATCCATCCTCTCTAGTAATTCTCACAACAAACCTGTGGTGCAGGTGTGAAGTTCAGTACTACCACATTTTAATCATCATAAATGCTCACAGACTGAATAGCTAATCAGCAGGACGTTCTGAGGCTGCATCTGCATAGACAAGACAGGACACAGTTACCCGGTTAAATTGGATCAACCTCATGTCCCAACAAAAGCATTTAGAAAATAAGTGCTGCTTCAACCTCACGTGTTCAAGTTACTGATGAGTCCCATCTTTTCTTCGTTTATGTAAATTCATTTCCACGATTAAAACACTTATAAAGAATTCCGTTCTTTCTCAGTCAATAGCTTTTTGTTTACACAAGGTATTTTGAAAACTCCTCACTCATCACTTTCTCTTTGACTTTCCAACATCTGTCATCAAAACATGATCATTTCTCTTGGCTTTCCTTGTTACTTTGAAAATGAGCTCAGTGTCCTTTAACACAACTGTTTGACCTTATACTTCTCCAACTTCTTCTAATATAGTAGAAGTGTCTATTTCCCTCCACAACTGCCTCCATTCTGATTTGATTTCTAAAGTTTTTGGTAGGGCTTTAATTCTGCCTTCTGTCTTGAAACTCTATAGGTCTGCAAGCTGCTTCACAGCCATTATTTTGTGCTTGAGATTCTTTATCAACTGTAAAATATTTCATATTATGTTTGTGTTATATCCAGAGTATGAGAGACATGGCAAAGAGCTTGTAGTGAACACAGTTTTATTTCACCATAAATTTATCATCTATTTGTAATTATTTCTTTTCTACAGTCCAGCACACTGAGGTTGATATGAAGAACATCGGTGGGCTGATTCAAATTAAAATGTATAGTGACTCACATAACAGAAGTACTATTAGTTTTGCAATAATTACCCCAGAATGCATTATAGGGGGCAGAACTGTTTTTTTTAATGTTTTTTGAAATTTTTATGTTGTTTTGGGTCATGCCGTAAAAGTCCACTCTGGAAATGGAAGGCTTAGAGGGCAGTAGCTTGGATTAGGGTCTCAAACTTGAGCTAATGGGTGTTTAGGTATAAGACTAAGGTAAAGCGATTGTCCTTGTGTTTACAGATATTGATGAGTGTCAGCAAGGGACGATGTGCATGAACGGGCAGTGCAGAAACACCGACGGCTCCTTCAGGTGTTCCTGTGGGCAGGGCTACCAGCTGTCAGCAGCGAAAGACCAGTGTGAAGGTAGGCGTGTGGCAACACGAACGGCTGTGATTTCAGTTTAAGGCACCTGCCTTAAAAAAATGTGCATCAGTAAAGCAAGTGTGCGAGTGTGTTTCTGAGAAACTACCCAGATGATTGTTTTATTGTGCCAGAAAGCAAGGGACTTACACCTACTAAGTCAGGAAAATCAATGAAAGAGGATTGAAAAAGGCTGAATTTGAAAAACATGGTATTAGTGACCAGTGGCTGGCATTACTATTGGAAAGAAAAATGTTTGCTCCCTGTGTAATTCCTTATGTGCAGAAAATCCGTTCTATTAAAATTATATGAAAGTTTCACACAGTAGGATTAACACTCAAGGGAATTATGTCCGCCTGGTATTACCTTGTGGAATATTAATGATTTAGTTTTTGTGTGCATGAGCTTTTAAAATCTTTCCTTTAAAAAAAAAAGACTTTTTAGGTAGACTGAAATAGTGTCTGCCTTGTACTCAGGGATAAAGTTTGTGCAATGTGCTCTGTTCCTACAGGTGACAGTGAGGGTTCTGGACCTTGCTGGGGTTGACCCTAGACTTTAAAAAGTTAGTTTTTTTCATTGAACTTCATACAGAATTACAAGTTGACCCTTCAACAACACATGTTTGAACTTCACGAGTCCATTTATATGCAGATTTTTTGTAAATACCTAGAGTATTACACCACCTGCAGTTGGTTGAATCCTCAGGTACAGAAACGTGGATACAGAAGACCAGGTGTCAGGTTAAATGTGGACATTTGACTGCGGTGGTCAGTATTCATAACTTCCACATTATTCAAGGGTAAACTGTACTTCTCAGTAAGGAGGATATGTTTCCTGAGTTTAAAGATACTGTGGTATCGCCTGTGACAAGCACAGGTGTTCAGAGGTCTTGAAAAGAAATGTCGTTTAAGAACAGAATACACGCGGTACATAATCAGTTGTTTTATTATAAGGAAACAATTTCTATCTGTGTCTGTATGTAAACTTAAGATATTTAATGAGTAGAAAGGTTTCCTGAGGTAGTGTTATAAAAGAGACAAGGTATAATGATACTATAAAGGGTTCTACTAATAGTATCATAACCTTCTTCTACTGTCCCTGTCTAGAACATAGAAAGTCATTACATTACCTAACCTAGCAGTGAAGACTGATCAGACACATACAAGCACATTCATGTACACAGACTAATTATGTGATTTGTTCTCAGTTATAGTCCCTCTCAAAGTTCTTTTTTTAATGAATACTGATCTGTACAAATGAATGTGTGGTAGGAGTTGAGGGCCACACATAATAAGGCTATCATGTTCATAGGCCTTTCTTTTGAAGAGCCTGTGATGTCACTCCAAGAGATAAGTCAGACACGGGAGGATCACTCACCAGGTTAGCAATAGGGTCACACCAAAATTGAAAAAAAAAAAAACCACATGTACCCCACTGTTCACTGCAGCACTATTTACAATAGCTAGGGCATGGAAGCAACCTGGATATCCATTGACAGGTGAATGGATAAAGAAACTGTGGTACATATATACAATGGAATATTACTTAGCCGTAATTGGTAAACATGGGCTCTGCCTCAAGACACTTAAAATCTAATGGTGAAAGTAAGTGATGAAATATATGGAATACATTACTTTGCCTTTTGTATGTGGATATGATGCAGGCACATGTGTGAGTCTGAGCTCAGGATTGTGCTTACAGAACAAATAATCTCTAGCAGAAGATGTGTGCATCGAGGAAGAAAGATTCAGAGGAAACGTAGGTATCAGATAGGCTGAGAGCAGGGAAGGACCATTAAATTTGCCCAGAAAATCATTGAGAGAGAGAGAGAGCCTGATTGCTCGGGTGGGGTGGGGCAGGGAGGGGGGGGGCGCAGTTGCTAAAGAGTAAGTTATTGAAAAAGAAGATATTCAAGCCATGACATTTTTCAATCAGGAGTCATCCAACTTCTCCTGAAGGGTCAGATAGTGTATGAATGTGTGGTACTATTTTCCAATAAAACTTTATTAACTATAATAGGCGGTGGTAGGCTGTAGCTTGCTAATCCCTGCGTTAGGCTATCATAGGCCATAGTGCTTTTAAACTCAGAATGTTATACTTGAATCTATAGAAGGAATTCCAGGAAGCTTTATTGTGATTCCCAAATTACAGCCAAGTATGTGCCCCTCTTCAGTGCCTGGTGGATGCATATGTACAGATTCTTAGCTCATTGCTCATCTGGTTTTCCCTGCTGAAATATTAATGAGTGACCTTTCTACTTGAGCTCAGTCTGAGTCACATGATAAAAATTCTAAATAGAAATCAGATGCTTTGTGGATCTCCTTTATGTGAATGATTAAAAGCTCACCTTTAGGGACTTCCATGTGGTCCAGTGGTTAGGAATCTGCATTCTAATACAGGGAATGTAGGTTTGATCCCTGGTTGGGGAACTAAGATCCCACATGCTGCAGGGCAACTGGACCTGTCCACCATAACTAGAGAGAAGCCTGCGTGCACCAACGAAGATCCCATCAGACACAGGCAAATAAATATTTTTTAAAAACCTCCCTTTTAAAGCACCACTTCTAAGTTTCCTTTTACTCTCTTGCTCACAGATATTGATGAATGCCAGCACCATCATCTCTGCAGTAACGGGCAGTGCAGGAACACAGAGGGCTCCTTCCGCTGCATTTGTGACCACGGTTACAGAGCATCCGCCCTTGGAGACCACTGTGAAGGTGAGAGTTGCTCTTGGTTACAGAATCATAAAATGCCAGCATCAGGATCAGGGAAATCTGAACATCATCCTGGCTTCTGTCCTCAACCCCATACTTTTGATTTCACTGTTGAGGACTTTTGATCCCTGTGAGATATTTTCTCCAAGATCACACAAATAATGCAAAGAAATGTGAGGATCCAGGTTTTCTTCGCCCTGCTCGGAGCAGTTTTTTAGAAAAGTTACACCAGCTAAGTTCATAAAGAAGCAGTGTAGCTTTTCTCAGCTATGGATAGCTTATCTTGAGTATCTCATACTGTATAGCATCCACTGGGGTGGAGGACCAGTGATCCCAACAGCCCAAGTAAGCAAAGACGAGTTAATTTTCTAGATAACTGTAAAATTTTAAAAGCCAGTCTTTAATTTTGCACTTTTCACATAAAATATTTCTAAAAGATATCCCACTGTGAGTCTTTAACCACTTTCACTACCTGTCTTGGCTCAGAGCCCCTCTGAAGTGGCCGGAGTTGCTGTAGTCACTTGTCACCAGCGTGGTGCTTGTGAATTCTCTGGGTTCACTGTCCACCCAAGTAACGGTGTGTTTTCCAGTTTATCTACTGATTTGCTGCTGTTAGATCCTATCAGTTGTGAAACAACGAATGTGAACACAACAGAGTTTGCCTCATACAGTAAGGTAGAGTATGCACAAGGGTCTGAACCCCACTCTTTATAGAAGAGAATGAGCTTGTTTAGTGACTGGTTTTTGTGACACATACTTCAGTGGTTCCAGATACTTTTCATTTCCACGGGTTGGGAGAGATCAACTGTATTGTACAGCATCCTTCTCCTCTGACCAGAGAACTTGACACAGATGTTAACATCTTGTCTGGAGTGTCTGGAGGGCAAGTGGGGGCAGTTTCCGAGGTGTTAAAATGTACATTATTGTTGAATCAGTGAATTATCTGCTAGGATTTTATCCTAAGGTGGTAATGTTCTTTGAAGAGTTAATACAACCAGTGAAAAGTTGTAATCAACGTACCTATTAAAAACATAGGCAGATGATCAAGTGATAAGTCAAAATAGTAATTATTGATTTTCTGAAGACTGTGAATGGGGAACACTGCAATATCTGGGTAAATGTTGCTGATTCGACATAATGGCATTCCAGGATGGAAGAGGCAGTTGTATTCCCCGGAACCAGTCATGGAAGGGTCTACTCTAAAAGTGGGTAGGTGTCAGGGCACATGCTAAGACTCTGAAAACCACCACTGACGCCAGTATGTGTTCTTCCCTAATTCCTTGCCTAGCCGAGAGGATAACCAGATCATTGACTAAATCTTGGGCAATAGGTCCTTGTTATAGGATATATTCCTCTTATTTTGGCTGTTTTAATGTGTAACCATTTCACCAGGAGTCCAATATTTTTTATTCTCGAACCATTATATGAAGAGCCAAATAAAAACTTTTACTCAGCTTGCTTGTCATTATTAGTATATATGTTCCATAAGAAAGCTTCTTTTCAGAAAAAGAAAAATTTGAGAGGTACAAAAAAGAAAAGTAGAAATTGATTAAACAAAAAAACTACATAATAAAATGGACCACTTTTGTGTAAATCTCAGAAAGAAAAAATTAGAAATCCAAAAGGATTCGAGTAGTATAGAGCAAATTAAAACATGAAAAGGCAGTAGTACATTTGTATCTAAAAATAGATTGGATCAAATTATTGAAATAGGTACTTTTTAAAAGAAAATTTAAATCATCAAAAGCAACCCAAGAAGCAAAACATCTGAAATAACCCATATCCCTACAAGAAATTGGAAAATGTATCAAAAGGTTATCTTCAAAAGATAGAAAGAAACCTTCTTTTTAACCATATCATCAGACCCGTTTCAAATCAGGGCTAACTTCTCTACTGTTCTGGATTCCAAATAGGACTGGAGTCCGTTCAATGACTTTAGAGCTCCCTTTGAAACCATAATAGGACTTCAGCCTGCTAATGCCCAACAAGCACTGTGGTCAAGCCTTCCTAGTCGTGCTCACCTGTAATTAACTGAGCTGTGACTGTTCACGTGCCTCTCGCAGCTGTGAGAGGAAGAGCCGTCTTTCTTGTTGGCGTTTATATCTACATGTGTGATGTTCTGCTGACTCTGGCAGGGACTGTGTTCCCTTGCACTGTCGTCCTGCAGTCCTGCTGGACTGCTCATGGAGTCAGAATCCCCAGTAGTGCGCTAATGTCTGTGTGCTGTTTACTCCAGCACGCTCAGCAGCCACTCGGTCTGTGATGCTGTGTGGCCTCAGTTGTCCTGGTTACTAGAGGTCTTTGGCATCTCAGTCCTCAGAGGCTCTGCCTCTGACTTGTCCTCCTCCAGGCACAGCCTCTGCTCCTGTGCCTACCTTTGCCCCTTCTTCAGTAACTCGCTGTGGTTGCTGTATGCTAGTCCCTTGCAAAGCCTGAGAAAAAGATTCATAATCTGTCTTCCTTGCAGCCCTTCTCTGTTGTTCATTTCTTTGCAGACCAAGTCGAAACAGGGACGTGCTGGTATTTCTTACCTTCTGACATTTCTTTCCAAGTCAAAGTCATCCATTTATTCTTTTATGCATTTATTCAACAAATATTTGGGACTTCCCTGGTAGTTGAGTGGCTAAGACTCCACGCGCCCAGTGCTAGGGGCCTGGGTTCGATCCCTGATCAGGAAACTAGATCTTGCTTGCCACAGCTAAAGATCCCACCCTGCAACTAAGACCTGGCACAGAGAAATAAAGAAACTAAATAAGTAAATTTTTTAAAACAACAACAACAACAAAAACAAACAAAAACCCAAATATTTGAGTGACAAGGATATGCCAGGCACTCTTCTAGGTGCAGGATATACAGCAGTAAACTAAACAAGAAAAAAAGTCTTGCCCTTGTGTAGCTTACATTTCAGTGAGGGAGAAAACAATAAACATGATAAATAAGTAAACTGTATAGTTTGCTAAATAGCAATAAATGTTAAGGGGAAAATTAAAGTAGGGTACACAGAAGTGCTGAGGGAAGGAGGCAGAGTTTTAAATAAGTAGGCAAGCAGAAGCTAGTCTGAGATGATGACATTTGATTATGGGGGGAGTGTTCCACGAAAAACCTTTGTGGAGGTAGTTAGGAACTTAGGCGTTTTAAGTTTGTGATGCCTACGATGAATATCCAAATGAAGATATCTGAAAGGCAATTGGACTTACGTGTTTGGAATTCAGCGGTAAGTTCTGGGCCGGGATTCATCAGCATGTAGACAGTGTTTAAAGCCATGAAGTTGGATGGAATCACTATGGTAGTGAATGTAGCTAAGAGAGGAGTGGTCCAAGGACTGTCATTGTCTCTCATTTAGAAGTGAAGAAGTGATAGGAACAAGCAAAGGGGATTGAGAAAAAGTGGCAAGTGAAGGAGGAAAACCAGAATCCAAGAGACATGAAAGTATTTCGAAGAGGGAGTGATGAACCTGTGTGAAACATTGCTGCTAGACAAGATGAGGACCAAAAGTTGATGGGATTTAGCAAAGTGGAGGTCATTGGAGAGGTGACCACAACTGGCTGGTGCTTTCTTTAAAGCCTGATAGCCAACTCCTACAAGAAATCTTTTCTTTCCTAGAAGTCGCTCTTTCATATTACCATCGGCAGCGGNTTTTTTTTTTTTTTTTTTTTTTTTTTTTTTTTTTTTTTTTTTTTTTTTTTTTTTTTTTTTTTTGCTTTCTAAGATAGAGATCTTGCAAAAATATGTAAACTAAACCAGATTCTAATGTAATGAACTGTTTTAAAATCTGTCCAATTGTTTTTGAACTTTTTAAAATGCTTTCTTCACATATATTATTTCTCCTAGACTTTGGAAAGTGAAAAAATTATTTTAGGGAGAGGTGAACAAAGCTGATAGATTTCCATTATGCTAGGGCATACTAGGTAATGGAGTGTTGTTCCTTAAATTCATATCCTTGGTATTCTACTTGCTGTATTTTGATTTGAAATTTTTCGCATAATGCTAATGGTCAGAGGTGCCATTTCTTATTTTGTCTCAGTTTCTTAAAGAGCAAAGAGAAAAGGTAAATCTAAATGTGGCTGTCTTACTCAACACCCATTAGAATGGCTGTGAAGCTATTAGAATAAATATGGTACAGTTGGAACTCTCCTACCTTGCTGGTAGGATGTAAAATGATGCAATTGCATTAGAAAACTTCAGAAGTTAAATCTACTATGTGGCCCAGCCATTCTACCCCTCAGAATCTACTCAAGGAAAAGCATATGTTAACACAAAGATTTGCATGTGAATAAAAATGTCAGTCACAATAGCCAAACTGTAAGCAATCCTAGTACTCAGCACAGGTGAAGGGTAAACAAATTACAAGACATTCATACAACAGAACACTACTCAGCAATAATGAGGGGAGAGCTATTGGTGCATGTGACAAACCTGGGTGACTCAAAAACACTACGCTGACCAGAAGCAGCCACACAGAAAAGGGGTACAAGGAAACCTTTGGGGGCATTGGAAATGCCTGTACATTTTTTGGTAATGGTTGGTCCAAATCTTTCCTTTAATATATGTTTTATGGCAAAGATCGACCAACAGTAGACTAGAATATTCCCATTTGTCTCAACTACTTCAAAATCATGAAATTAGCAGAAAGTTTGGTCTTAAGAATTATTTTCACAGAATTTATATCTAAGAGCCTTTTCTCAGTTAAATTTGGTTTTAGGCATCTTGATATATCTTAACCAGTGAATAAACCAGTTGTTGGTGTATTCAGGCTTTGTACGAGACACTTAGTCCTCCATGCTGTTATCTTTCTTAATTGTGCATATTTCCTCTACTGACTCTTTGATGGCCATTAAAACACCCAAGGCACAAGGTTAACAGGAATGGTGATTAGACAAAAAGGCAAAGGAAAACATCTCCAGACTTTGTCACTGCAGAATACCATTCTTAGAAAGGTGTTTCATTCGTTCCTTTAAAAAATGTTGCATTTGCGATGATGTAAGAATCCAGCAGTGGATCCTAAGAGATATAAATTGATATAGAAATGCCTGTGCCGTGGTTGTGATGGTGGTCACAAGAATGTGTTTACATTTGTCAGAACTCATTGAATTGAACTCTTAGATGCATCTGTTATATGTAAATTACACTTAAATGAAGTTGGAGAAACACTAAAAATGTGGTAAACTATTTTAATTGTGACAGTCACATCAGATGTAGTTTACATTTTAGGATCATTATACAGAAACACTTTAAAAATGGGTGAACTTCGTAATAATTTCTTTTGGTAGAGTGAAATTATAAGGTGCTTCTCTTTTATCTACCCCATGAATGGTACAGAGGGCAGTTAATTACTTGTTTGGATTCTATGAGAAATACTTAATTCCATGTGCCCACATTTTAAACCAGACAGCAAGGAGAATAGACTGCAACAGTCTTCATATGCACTTCTTCTGGACCTTTTCATGTATTTTAGTTGTTCAGTCTCTAAGTTTTGCCCGACTCTTTGCGACCCTATGACTGCAGCACACTAGGCTTCCCTGTCCTTCACCATCTCCCGGAATTTGCTCAAACTCATGTCCATTGAGTCGGTGATGCCATCCAACCATCTCATCCTCTGTTGTCCCCTTCTCCTCCTGTCTTCAGTCTTTCCCAGAATCAGATTATTTTCCAATGAGTTGGTTCTTCACATCAGGTACCAAAGTATTGGAGCTTCAGCATCAGTCCTTCCAATGAATATTCAAGGTTGATTTCCTTTAGGATTGACTGGTTTGATCTCCTTATTGTCCAAAGGACTCTCAAGTGTCTTCTCCAGCACTTGAAGTCCAGCACAGTTTGAAAGCATCAATTCTTGGGTTCTCAGTCTTCTTTATGATCCAACTCTCACGTCCATAGCTGACTATGGAAAAGCAATAATTTTGACCTTTGTCAGCAAAGTGATGTCTCTGCTTTTTAATACGCTGTCTAGGTTTATCATATCTTTTCTTCCAGAGAGCAAGAGTCTTTTAATTTTATGGCTGCAGTCACCATCCGAAGTGATTTTGGAGTCCAAGAAAGTAGTCTATCACTGTTTACATTTTTTCCCCTTCAGTTTGCCAATGAAGTGATGGAACCAGATGCTGTGATCTTAGTTTTTTGAATGTTGAGTTTTAAGCCAGCTTTATCACTCTGCCCTTTTACCTTCATAAAAAGGAGCTTTAGTTCCTCTTCACTTTCTCCCATTAGGGTGGTATCATCTGCATATCTGAGGTTATTGATATTTCTCCTGGCAATTTTGATTCCAGCTTGTGATTCATCTAGCCTGGCATTTCGCATGATGTACTCTGCATAGAAGTTAAATAAGCAAGGTGACAGTATACAGCCTTGATGTACTCCTTTCCCAGTTTTGAACCAGTCGGTTGTTCCGTGTCCGGTTCTTACTGTTGCTTCTTGATCTACATACAGGTTTCTCAGGAGGCACTTAAGGTGGTCTGGTATTCCCATCTCTTTAAGAGTTTTCCACAGTTTGTTGTGATCCATACAGTCATAGGCTTTAGTGTAGTCAATGAAGCAGAAGTAGATGTTTTTCCAGAATTCTCTTGCTTTTTGTATGATCCAATGGATGTTGGCAATTTGATGTCTGATTCCTTTGCCTTTTCTAAATTTAGCTTGTTCATTGGAAGGTCTCAGTTCACGAACTGTTGAAGCCTAGTTTGAAGGATTTTGAGCATTACCTTGCTAGCATGTAAAATGAGTGCAGTTGTATTTTAGTAGCAATCTTATTTGCAAGAAATACCACAACATACCAAATTCTGAGCGAACAAAGAAAGTTTTGTACTTTAGGTTTCCTCAGTGCTAATAATTTGAATCTTACACATACAACAGAATCGAGACTCATGGAGTGTGTTCGGAATAATGAACTTTGATAGGAGTAATTGAGGTTATAAACAACCCTTGTGAAAGATATGCCTCAGGTTCATGCAGTGAGCGGGGTCATTAATTGTCTTACATGCTCACAGTCAAGACTCATTAGTGCTTACATAAACCGTTTTTAGTTGGACATATGTTACAAGCATATACATTTTAAAAAAATCCAGACAGCATTATACCTGTTTGTGGTAACTTGTGAGTAAGTGACTTCTGATTTTGCTCATTCCCTTGCCTTCCAAAAAACTCCTCTTATTACCCCTCTGCCACTGTTCATCCTGCTGCCAAGGCTTCAAGTAAGTTCCTTCTATTACACAAGCTACCTTTAATCTTTAGAGTGTCTCTTCTCTAAATTCATGTGACTCTGGAAGTTGGTACTATTCTTGTGACATATATCTTTGACAATTCTTAAATTATTTTGAACTTATAAATCAACTCAATATTTTTGTGTTTACTTTTATAATACAATTTAGGGATTTTTTTTGTACAATCATTTTTCTTTGGAGGCAGGGAGCATGCCAGATATTTTAAAATCTTTCCTGTGATGTGTAATACAGGATCTTGTATAGCATCTATTTATACTGTACAAATTATAAAAGCTAAAATCTTTTCAAAATATTTCATTTTTAATAACTCTAAAAGGTAAACAGTCATTCATTTAAAATCATGCATTACCAGAGATGTAAAATAATGTTTATGTATGTGAGTCTAGTGTGTAAAGATAAGGAAAATGTTTTTGTTAATACAGTTTGTCTTTTACGTCTTGTAAATTGACTTGTAGATATCAATGAATGCTTGGAGGACAAGAGTGTTTGCCAGGGAGGCGACTGCATTAATACTAAAGGGTCCTATGAGTGTACTTGTCCAGATGGATTCCAGCTAAATGACAATAAAGGATGTCAAGGTAAACTTCTTTCTCTGCTTTTTAAATTATAATTTACGTAATTACTCAGTTCTGTGTTGCTTCCTGATAATAGTTTACGGTTTTACTACTGTATATATAAATGAGCTATGCAAATTTGTATTATTATAATTTTTTTGAGTCTACATCAAGTGCAGGAAGTTCCTGCTTTGCACTGCACCAAACTAACTGAAACTCATGCATTTTGGAACTGTGTCCTAGCTTTATGTGCTTCTGTGGTAACTATGATCACCTGTCCTTTGCTATACTTTCCTTCCATATGCCAAGCTTGGTATTTGATTCTAAGTTACCTTTTCGCTTTTACATATCCTTCATGGGCCTATTTCAGTTTGTCCCATAACGTGTTTCTGCTTTTTTGTTTTTCCTGATCCCTGTTTTTACCCAGTATCTAGCTTTTCCTCTCCCCAAAAAAGCCTGATTAATAATTTGGTCATAATTACAGAGGACAGAATTTTATATTTTTCCAAAGTGCTATCACGTTTGATCTCCCAAAACAGCTGTCCTCCTCCCCTTATCTGCTGTTTCACTTTCTCCAGTTTGTTACCCGCAGCCAGCTGTGGTCTGGAAATATATGGAAAATTCCAGAAACAATTCACAAACTTTAAAATTGCTTGCTGTTCTAACTAGTGTATGAACTCTCATGCCATCCCATTCATCCTGCTCCGGATGTGAATCATCCCTTTGTCCAGCACATCTCATCTGTGAGTCACTTAGTCGCCGTCTCTGCTGTCTCCGACCCGCTCTTGAGGTACTGAAGTGCCTGTGTTCCACCAACTCTTATCTTACCTCGTAATGGTTCCAGAGAACACGGGTAGTGAGGCAAACCATTTGGATATACCAAAAAGAAGCCATAAGAGTATTTTTTTTTTAATGAAGAAGTGAAAGTTCTTGACTTACTAAGGAAAGAAAAAAAAAATCCTGTTCTGAGGTTGCTAAGATCAATGCTAAGATCAATGCTAAGATCAAATCAAATCTTTTATCTGTGATATTGTGAAGAGGGAAGAAGAAATTCGTTCTGTTTTTGCTTTTGACTCTCAAACTGCAAAAGTCATGGCCACAGTGCATGCTAAGTCCTTATAAGATGAAAAAGGCTTTAAACTTGCACAGTAAGATAATTGGAAAGAGAGAGAAACTGTGTTCACATAACTTTTATTATGGTATACTGTTCTCATTCTATTATTAGTTGTTAATCTCTCACTGTACCTTATTTATCAATTAAAATTTATTATATGTATATATAAGAAAAACGTAGTGTATACATGGTTTGGTACTATCCATAATTTCAAGTATCCAGCTGGGGGTCTTATAATGCATTCTCTGGGGATAAAGGAGGACTGGCTGGACACAAAGTACTAATAAGAACACAGCACCGATCACAGCACGATTGTAACTGAATGCCTGTTATGTGCCAGTTACTGTATTACCTCACTTAAGTTGTAGAGAATTGAGGAGGAAGCTTTTATCCATTTTGTGATTGAGTAACGGAAGCTCAGAGAAGTTAATTAGCATGCTCCTCACTAAGAAGTAATTGAACTGAGATTTGAACCCAAGATCTTTCCCCTTTATTTTCTCTATATTGACATGCCAATTATGGTTACATTTATAGCCAAAGGAAAGAAGACAGATTCAGTGATTTCCCCCCCACCCCCACCCCCAGTATAATACATAGAGTATGTGGGCATAGATTTCGGAGTTTGTTTTAATGCTGATAACATAATTTATGACAATGTGAATAACCATGGAACATATTTGAAAAATAATGTGTGATAGGCATAAAGTTTAAATCTTACCTAATAATCTGAAGATAGGTCCACAGTCAGGAAGGCATTTTCAATTGAAAGTGTAAGAATCTCTTACCTCAGGACAATTAATGATGATACACAGACAGCATGGAAATTCTATGTTAATAGTCTCTTTAGGAATGTGGCAGCATGCATTTGAGCTTCAGAATATACTCAGTTTCACATTTTGACTTACACATGCCAAATTGTGAATTTCTGTGGAATCTCGGACCCATGAAAGAAACCCAACTTAAATATAGTCTGACTTTCAGCTGAGTTACTAGCAGCATAGTTTAGAAATGCCTCAATAAGTACAACCCAAATTAAATGCATATGTTTCTCAGGTTCCAGATACTCATGTTGTTTTTTCTTGGTGGTTTCCTGGAAAAAAGTCTGGGAATTCGTCTACAGTTCCTGTCATCAGACTTTTTAGACAATTATTTGTTAATCAGTGACTTCTCTTGAAGCAAAAATGTTTATGCACATGATTCCCTATGCAAAGTTGCCACATCTGGCAGTTTTTAAAAGGTCACACTGAGTCACAGGTGAAATAAGAAGGTGGTCTTAGATAACCTCTAGGGCTCTCCAATATGGACAGCGACCCTGGACTTGATCCCCGGGCCAGTGGAACTTTATAGCATCTTGTTGCACAGGTGGAGGGCAGCAGATTCCAGGCAGCAGGTTGGAAAGAAAGAATAGTGCTAACGGGTAAAAGAAGGTCAGAGTTCAGGAAAGATTACAATCTACGGTATTTTCAGTAGATAGCAAACATAGCCAGAGAATTTACAGAAGAAGGGAAGGATTTCACAGAGTGGAATCATATTAAGAAATAGTAAAGTAGAAAATGATTCATTGCTCCTTCTTGAAATATTTTAAAATTAGTGACAATAACCAGAATGGGAGAGTTGTTAAGAAAATGAGCAATGCCTGCTTGATTTCTTAGGTTCAGCAGTAGATTAGCCAACTAGCCTGAAATATTTGGCAGATGGAAGGGTAAAGAGTTCAGGCTTAAAATACAGATAGCTAAATCAGTAATATTGCCAGAATTCCCGTTACATGATGAGAGGAATAGACATGAAGAAGAGCCTCAGGAGACCCTGGATACATGTGACCCTCTGGAGGAGGGGAGCTGCCGGCTTGGTGGCTAAGCATGTTCTCTAGGTCACTGTAAAGGCCCCTCATCTATATGTTTTCCATGCTCCCATTCAACCTTATAGTTATTTGTCTTCCCTTCTGCCTCCCCTGTCATACTGTGAGCTTGACTATGGTATGGGCCCCTGCTACTCAACCATCTTTTAGGAAATCATCAGTAAAAGTTTTTAATTGAATTTAAGATGGCCTTGAAAATGGCTTTTTTATTTTGCATAGGGGTATAGCTGATTAACAAATAATATTGTGATGGTTTCAGATGAATTCTGAAGGGACTCAGCCATACATATACCTATATTCATTCTCCCCCAAACTCCTCTCCCATCCAGGCTGCCACATAACATTGAGCAGAGTTCCGTGTGCTATACAGTAGGTCCTTGTTGATTATCCATTTTAAATATAACTGTGTGTACATGTCTATCCCAAACTCCCTGACTATCCCTTCCCCACATCCTTCCCCTGGCAACCGTAAGAACATTCTTGAAGTCGGGGAGTCTGTTTCTGTTTTGTAAGTAAGTTCATTTGTATCCTTTCTTTTTAGATTTCACATAAAAGAGATGTCATATGATATTTCTCCTTTTCTGTCTGACTTACTTCACTCCGTGTGACACTCTCTAGGTCTAGTCATGTTGCTGCAAATGGCATTATTTCATCCTGTTTTAATGGCTGAGTACTATTCTGTTGTATGTATGTACCACATTAAAGATGGACTTTGAAGGTGATGTGTTGAGGGCCTATTTGTTGTTTAGTCGCTAAGTCATATCTGACTCTTTTGCGACCCCATAGACTGTAGCTGCCAGGCTCCTTTGTCCATGGGATTTCCCAGGCAAGAATACTGGAGTGGGTTGCCGTTTCCTTCTCCAGGGGATCTTCCCGACCCAGGGATCAAACCCACATCTCCTGCCTTGGCAGATGGGTTCTTTACCACTGAGCCGCCAGGGAAGCCTGGGGACCTCTTTAGTAGGAAATGACTTCAGAAAGGAAAATGACCTTAGTAGGGCTACTGCTTGGATGGTGCCTAGGACATGTGATACCTTCATGACTCCAATTGACTAAGAGAACTTTTTTTTTTTTCATTTATTTTTATTAGTTGGAGGCTAATTACTTTACAATATTGTAGTGGTTTTTGTCATACATTGACATGAATCAGCCATGGATTTACATGTATTTCCCATCCCGATCCCCCCCTCCCACCTCCCTCTCTACTTGATCCCTCTGGGAACTTTAATCAATCGCTGTTCAGTTAGAACAGAATGAACAAAACTGAGAGTTTTTGTGGACAGGTATTCATAATACACTCTTCACTTGCTATACTGGGAGGTGGACTCAGACTTAAAATATGCAGTTCTCTTGAAGAAGCAGTCAGAGTAAGAGGGACACAGAGGGGACAAGCAGCAGTTAAAATGCAGTGCACACAGGCAGTCACATGTGTCAGCTCCATCGTGACCAGGTGAGCCGTTCTCCATGATTCCTTACATCGTCCCCTTCAGGTGCTCTTAGCATCCTTAGGACTGCTTTAAAAGAACATTGCATGGACACCAAACACTTCCTGCATTATTAGCCTTTAAGTACATCATCACCCTGGCTGGAGGGAGTGTAATCTTTCTTCATTGAGGACAAACAGAGTATGAGATGGTCAACACAGTAGTCAACACAGCTACAGCATGATTTGTTCATGAGTCTTGGTAATTATCATCACCACTTTTTTGACTCTTGGTGGTATTGAGTACTACCCTAAGCACCGGATGCTCATCCACTAATTTCATCATCACAAAGCTGTGCAACTATTAAAGGCCACGTTTTTCTTGTACTTTATTTCTTGTATCCATTTTCAGTGAAATAGATTGGAGTCAATTTCCTTTGTATATTCAGACATTTGAGAAGGGCTATTTTTGAGTCAGACACTGTTAGACATGTCCAGCCTTGCCCGTAAGTTCACTTCCCAGGGATGGATAGGCACGGACTTGCATTGTGGTAAAATAAGGTAAAAGAGAACACAGTATTCACACTGAAGAAGATTTCACAAAAGACTTAATTCATTAGATACCCTCAAGCCTCCTATATATATATATATATTTTTTTTTTTTTAAAGGGTACCCTTGATTTGAACCTGTGAACTTTCTTTTTTTCAGATAAAAATGGTGAACATTGGCTATTTCCTATGATTTAACCCAAGTAATCTCTCTCTCCTGACAGTCCAGGTTGTCTTGTGGTCTGGTGTGTATACAAACTGTGAAGTGTGCCACCAGATACACGTCTGGCCATTTTGTAATAGATTTTGCTTCATGTCTTATCTGATATCATCTGAAAGCAAAACAGATTTTTTTTTCAAGTATGTGGAACTCTTCTTGATTCCAGATATTAATGAATGTGAACAACCCGGACTCTGTGGTCCTCATGGAGAATGTCTAAACACAGACAGTTCTTTTCACTGCATCTGCGAACAGGGTTTCTCAATTTCTGCAGATGGACGAACGTGTGAAGGTAAGAAGAACAATAAGACCTCATGTAATTATTGCACGATAAAGCAGAGAGGGGATGCCTTTGTATTTTAATCGGCACAGGCTCTGAGACACTGACAGGCACTCACGGTTTAAGGCCTTGGAGCACATATGTACCAAGGGGATTCCTCCCTGAAATGCATCTCAAGGTGGCTAGGATTTACAGACAGGATAAACTGCTATTATAACAGTGAAAATACTCACAGGTGATTCCATGACTGGTACTGAATTAATGAGTCAAAATATGTGGGAGGTGATGATTTTAGGTGCACGTGGGAGACAGGAAAATGAAGCAACATCCCTAACGTAACCCAAGACTCTGTTGATTTTGATTATGTTTCATATAGATCATCTGTATTATTCTGTATGTAAACATGCCTTGCTTGATTTTTCTCTGTACCGTTGTCAGCAGAAATTTTCCACAGTTATTCCTCTAAGATTCTTTGCTCTGAACCAGTATATTTTCCTACCTTTCAGTATTTATTATATCCTAGGAGCACATTAAGTTGTAAGACATTAAGATAACACATTGGCTTCCTATTGGCAACCTCTTTATGTTTGCAGGGCTGTAGCTCTGGTTATATACACAAGATTTATATTCTTGATGACTTATGATAGTTTGATAAATTGAAGAATAATTCATCTGAACCTTTATGAAAGTAAACTGAGAAGAATCCTATAATCATAATTTTTCATCCATCCCTTTGAGAATCTAGGTTTCAAAACCCAGCTCTGTTTTAAAGAAGTATGAAGGTTCTGTTCTGGGCCTCTGTTAAGACTTAGTGTCTTTGCTTCACAAAGAAGTGGAGCAGGAAGCGTGTACTCTCCTTACTCACTCCACAGTGGAGTCGAGCCGAGGACCGGTAACCAGGTTCATCTGAAACTAATTATTTTATTGAGAAGAATAAACTGATCGTATAAAAAGCAGGAGATTGTTGAAATTGCTCTCCTGCTGAGTAGACAAAACATGAATGCCAGATTTGGCTTCAAGTGAAAGAGACATCGTGCAGGGTAGGGTTTAAAGATTATGAGGGGTTTGGAAGTGATCAAAAGTGGGGAAATGGAGAAAAACATCATAAAGATGATGCCCATGAGAGGTTTACTCCATGTTTCAGTGGTTTGAGCTTTAATTAATTTTATATTTAGAGTTCTAAGACTACAGCTCATAAGAAAGAGCATGAATGCAGGCCTTCTGGGGGTATCACAGAATTCCCTGGTAGAGAGGATAGGGTGCTAGCCGACTTGAGTGACTGAAAAAATGAAATTTTCAGAATGCTCATTTCCCTGCCTTCTAGAAGGGTACAGGTTTGCTTCTTCAGCTAGTTCTAAAACATGGCTAGTAAGGTCTTCCTTAACTGAGAAATGGTCCAAGTTACAGATACCAGTAGCTGTGCTATGCAAAAATTGTATTTTAAAAAAATGTATAAGTCATCTCAAGTGCTTACCAGTCAAAGCCATACACCAGTATAAACATACTCACGTTTGTTTTTTCTTTTGTACTTTGTACTTTTTCTTTAAATCTGTCTTTTAAAATCTTTATTTCTGCAACTCAAGAGTTATATAATCACTGTAACTTAGTTGCAGTTCTAATTTGTTTAGGCATTTACTTGGCGGGGATTTGAATTTTAAACTGTGTTTTTAGGAAACTTCTAGGGCTTTGTAAATTCCTGTAATTTAGTATACGGTCTTTGACCCTTGTTCCATATTTTTTACTCCAGAATCTGGACAATTTTTACAAAAGTAACAAAGCAGATACTTTAGAATATTGTGCTGATACCTGGCAGTTTAACTAGAAAGCCCCCTCATTATTAGGCTCGTTAATCTCTTTCTTGAATAAGCTTTGCAAGATTTTCATTTTTTATGGTCTTAATCCAGTAGATTAAACTGGCTCAAGTTTTCTTTCGTTGGACTTAGTTTGAAACTTGTGACAGTAGCAATATGTCTTGATTCTACCCCTGGCAGTGGTGTAGGATGAAGCCAGTCCGTGTGATTGGGATTTAGCTATGGAGCTGATGTGTATAGGATTTGAATTAACACCAAGAAGTGGCTGGCACTCTTGCTTCGTGCCCATCTATCAGCTTACCTCCTAACTTCTCATTAAAGCAGCTGAAGCCACATGGACACGCAGGCTGGCATACCTTGCTTCAAGCAGGGCTGAAGGAATCCCGCCCAGCTGAGGGGAGGAGGGCCCTTCCCTAAATCCCCCATGACTTGGGGAGTTGTCCACATCTGCTCACAGATGCTGAACTACAATGCAGAGGCATTCTGTCACTATCAACTGTCTCAGGTATCAAGGAGCAGGATCGAGTCTTTGAAAATAAAAACAGCACCACTGGCTCCATCCTTTCTCTTATGGTGCTCTGGGAGCACGTATGTGGGAGAGGCTGGAGAAGCATCTTGTTTTTACCCCATGAGATAAAGAACACGTGTCAGTTGAACTTGGAACAGGAAGTAAGTGGCGGGTATGCAACTATTTGTTTATTCATTTACTCAGAGAGCCTGTCCGTGCCAGGCACTGTTAGTGTTCTGAGGGCAAATACACCCTGTTCTTGTCCACGTGGAACCCACATTCCAGGAAGAGATTTGGGGATAAATAAGTACATAGTACATATTGAAATTATGTTTTCGTATTTAAATAATATAGCAAGATTATATTTTAAGGATATAAAAAAGTACAGGGTACAGCATGTCATATATAATCTATAACTCACAGAGTTTTTTTTTCCAAGTCCTACATGTGGATGTCAGGAAAGTACAGGGAAGCAAGGCCCTTTTAATTTACTTCCACTTCTGTAATTCTTTCTTTTCTTCTCGTAACTGTGGTTCTTCTCCTCCTGCCACCCCCCTTTACACCCTCAAGCCAGAGATTGTGTAGGAAAGCAAAGGAGACTTTTGACTTCTTTCATTCAGCTCACTGTTTTATATCTTAAATTGGCTTATCCATTTGTTTTAAGAAGTCCCAATTCTTTGGTTCCTTTATTTCCCCCCACTTTTTAAATTACAGAATTCAAAGTTGCTTGATAATGATATATCAGTGTGGGTTCATAGGAAAAATATGTATCCTCCCATTTGTAAGCTGACTCAGAGTTTCGTTTCTTCATTGGCAGCAGGATGTGAGTGAGTGGGAAGAAGACTGGGGAAACTTATGACATTCAGAATCCTCAGTGGCACCATGTCCGTGCCCTGGCCCCCATGGAGAAATGCGTCCTCGCCTCTGACTTGGCATCACTCTCTTCACGTGCCTCTGGGAGGGCTGCTCTTGGCCAGGAATGGCTGTGCTCTCCCAGTTGGCTGTCCATGTCCATGGAGACCTTGTATGACAAAGATGAAACTGGGGACATCGGCATCTCTAGACTCCACTGTGGTTTCTAGTCTGTTCATATAACACACTCGCCACACTGGTCTAGCAGGGACCTCAGAGGAGCATAGTGGCACAGAGGGAGCATCGGTGACTTATGGAGCCTGGTTAGTCATGACAAATTAGGCCTCTAAACTATGACCAAAATCACTCCCTAAAATCATGTCTTTTAGAAAGCATCCTCGTTCATTCATCCATTTGAAAAATATTTATTGTATGTCTACTATATACTGGCCACTCCTAGGAACTGAGGTGATGTCTCCGAACAAAGAATATCTCCACTTTCTTGGAGACAGTAAACTAATATCAGCTGTATAATATGCTATAAAGTGGTAAACCCCATGAAAGAGAGCAGAGTAATGGGAATCTGAGGGCTAGAGCAAAGAACGGAAGTTAGGAACTAGGGTAGTCACAACTGGTCATTCTGCCTCTATAAATGTAGATTAATGAAAGTAATGCTACAGTTGTGTCTGAGTAACAGATGAAGCCATGTTAAATGCTTTTCTTTTTCAAACTGATCCTCGACTGGCTAAGTGATAATAGCCTGTCAATGAAAAGACAGGAGGACATAAGATTGTCTGCTTTAGGCCTCTTTCCAGTTGCCAACATGTGAGTTCTGTTGTCTAGAAGGGATTAAAAAATCAGAGTACAATACCAAGAGCAAGCCCAATGTGAATTATGGGCTTTGCTTGATAATGATGTGTCAGTGTAGGTTCATCAGTCATAGCAAATGTACCACTCTGATGGGGGTTATTGACAGTGGGAGAAGCTAGGGGAGGGGGCGGTTTGGGGAAAACAAGGGGAATAAGGAAACTTCCTGTGAAATTTTATTGTGAACCTAAAACTGCTCTTTAAAGTCTGCTTTTAAAAATCAGACATGCCTGAAATTAACCTGAAAAAAATTAATTTTTTTCATCAAAAAAATCCCCTTTAAGTTCAATTCTGTATTCGACTGCTATTTTTTTTCCCCCTGAATGTTGTTGTTTCTTACTTTTCAAAAAAGCACCCCAGATGGAGTATGTGATCAGGAACTTATACTCTCACATTCAAAGCAACTCTCACATTGATTTAAAAATTGAGAGCTGTAGGATTGGAAGGGGACTTTTGGAACGTTGAACTTAACTCTGAAACCCAAAGCAAAGAATCAAGTCCTATTGTTGAACGGCTATAAAGTCTCTAATCCTGTAACCTGTTTAGATATCTGCCCATAAACTGCTTCTTGATAACTCATTCGTTTGGGTGGGAAAACACAACAAATGCAAGTGATAAGGATGGCTGGCTTCATGAAGTTAACTGAGAACAGTGGTATCAGAAAGATGAAAAGAAGTTGGGTCCAAACTCTTAGATCAATTTTGTGTGCGATGGGAACCAGAAAATATACTAAGGACAAACTTTGCCAAATCAAAGAAGGAAAAACGAACTGGGAGTGAGTGTGGTTTTGTTTTCAGACTTTGAGGTATATTTTCCACGAGCAGTGTAGAAAGAAAGTATAAAACCATGTTGACAGCACTCCAAGGCAGTTGGTGGTTTTGTGGCATGGAGATAGAACTTTATGTCTATCACCAAAGAGAAAATATTTTTGAAAATGACTTAGCCAAGTAGGACATTGAAGTACCCTGACACAA